GATGATGGCAATTTGAGGAAGGGAATGTAGTGCAGATGGATGTCATTGAGGTAGAGGAAGTTCTTTGTCTTTTCGCCTTTGGTTCTTTTTCGCTCATTGACAATATTTACAGGGTGTGTCTTTGTCGTCTCTGTCGTGGTTCTGTGCCTGGGTGGCAGTCAATGTGATAGATGGATGACATGGTGGTGATTGCGGTAGTGGAATTTGGATGGGTATAGTGTGTGAATAATAGTGAAGAACACTTTTAAGTGGATGGTGTGTGAAATCACATATACTTAATATCATGGTGACAATTTGGGGAAGGAGTCAAGGAGATGTGAGATATATATAGTGTGGGGGTGAGTATATAAATTGTGGAAGATGATGATAATCGTTGTGGTGGAGGTGGTGCTTGTGTGGAGGTTGAGGCTGTTAAGAGGGTAGGACAAATAGGCATGGTGGCAAATGGATATGGTGGTGGGGGTGGAAGAGAAGGTATTGCAGGTGGATGTCATTAAGGTAGAGGACATTCTTTGTATTTTCGCTGGTGGTTCTTTTCTGCTCATAAGTCTGGAAAACGACCACTTAAATTGGTGTATCAGGAACCATTAAATCAAGAAAAAATAAGACGAAGACAAATGAGACCAAGTCGATAACGTCCCTGTGGGTCTCTAGTATAAGTTTCATTGGTTGTCATTTCGCCTTTTTTAATGTTTTGGGACACCGTCATCCTCAAATGTTTTCCTGGAAAAACTGGGAACCCCATAAGCTCTTATAAAAACACCTGTGTATACAATTCCTATTCTCAGTATCTTGTAGGTAATCGTTATGTGTTAAGCAGGGAAACTTAAAAATGTTCATCATAGCTTTTTGATAAAAGCTTTGTCTCAACTTTCGTATAAATTCGCAGCGTTCACCAAAGGAATTCCTGCTGGTGAGGCAACCTCTTTCTTATAGGCACATAAAAAGACATTTGTTCCACATTCTGACAATTTTTTTGTGAAAGACATGTGGACATGCGTTTTTGATGTTTTTTTAAATGTTGTCATTATCATTTGCAATATTGACGATTTTACACATTTACAAGATGTCTAATTTTTATTTACAATATTTTCAGCCTGTGTGTGTCTTTGTCGTCTGTGTTGTGGGGCTGAGTGCAGGTGGCAGTCGATGTCATAGATTGACGTGGTGGTAAAATTTGGATGGGTATAGGAAGTGGATGGTGTTTGAAAATGCATATTCATGATATGGTGATGACAATTTGAGGAAGAGGAGGTAGTGGTTGTGGATGTCATTGAAGTGGAGGACGTGTTTTGTCTTTTTGGCTATGGTTCTTTTCTGCTCATAGTACATATTTACGGGTCTGTGTATACCCTAGAAATAATCCTAGGAATAATCAACAACAGATAACCTGATGATGATTTTGATACAGACTAGAGTACTGAGAAATTCTAGTTTTCAACATTGCTTATGTGTTCAAAAATATACCTGTCCCAACAAGTAAGTCGAGCCCAGACCACGCTAATGACGACAAGGTTAGTTATTGAATGTTCAAGGAAAAAAGAAACTCTTACTGTTTTGAGTAAATGGTAAGGCCAGTCTTTATCAGTGTCCAAAAATCGCAATGTAAAGAAAAAATTTAAGTAGTCTTCGATGTATTCATTTCAAACTTAGCTATATCATAGTAAGCTAAGTACAGACCTGGAATTATGTCATAATCATTGTAATAACCGAGGTCCTCAATATAAGGCGTATTCCTGCACGTTCTCGGCCACGTTACACTTCACTTAGGGCATTGATATTCATCAAATGAAATATATCGTATTATTTTATCAGCAAATAATAGCACATTCTAACGAAATGTTGGTTTATATCTGTTTCAATCCCACTTAAATAGAAGGTTTTTTCGCTGACAACTTCTTTGGTGAAGTGAAGAGGCTGGGAAAATCGCAAAACAATCAGAGCTAGAATTCGATCTTAATCATCATAACTGTTGCACATTCTCGGCCACACTGCACTACTTTTATGGCAACTGACATTCAAGACATCTAATACATCGTATTTTGTCTGTCAGCAAAAAAGAGTTTTTTCTATTATTGCATTGGAAGACATCTTTGAAAGGACATTTTTGCTGGACACTTTCTATTATGAAGATATAATTTGGAGAAAACATGGAGTTATTCAAAGAAGAAAATGAAGAGAAATGGAACACGAAAACGAAAAATGTGGCACTTCATCTGCCATAGTTGCCAAGTGAGAAATAGCATTAAAAGGTGGAAGAAGCAATAGAATAGGAAAAGAAAAAATCGCATTTTGAGGACACTGCTCTTGAAAGGACCTTTGAGTCAAGCCGAATCAAATACGGCCAAAGCGGCTAGAATTCAAGGTCTTTCGCAAATGCCAAGAGATCAACGTGTTAAATTTCTTTGTGCTGAGAGCACTAAGGAAATGATGCGAAACACGATAACTCCACACTGCGTCAATAAGTTTTTAAAATTGTCCACATCTTCCAAGTCTTTTATCCTTTCTTTGCAAGGTGTGGCCCCGTAGTGTGTTTATACACTTATTTAGGGAATGTCCAGTCTTCAAAGACAAAGATTGTGTGGCCACATTCTGAACACCTTGGTCAAAATGAAATTTTGCTATGTTTTTACGGCATTTACAACATTGTCAAACCTTCCAGGCGTAATGAGGTCAGGAAGTTGGGAAACAGGATTGGAATCTGTTTTACGAAGTTGCAGCAAGACTCAAGCAAGGTCTCTCATTTTTTGCTTGACAAGGCTGTATTGTTTTTCTCCATACTTCTGTACTAACAAACCAACTGAGGACGCTCTTCAAGGAATTCTGCATTGGACGACATCTTTGAAAGGACACTTTTCCTGAGCTTTTTCTATTATGAAGATAATTGCTAACAATTTGGAGAAAACATGGTAGCTTTTAACAAGCATCTTCGAGGCTTCCCCTCCTCTCCTTTTGTTGAACATGACAACTCTGACCAAAGCAGTCTGGGCTAACTCACTCCAAACCTCCAGCTGAGGATGCTGTTCAAAGATTTCTTCATTGGAAGACATCTTTGAAAGGGCACCTTCATGAGTTTCTCGAGATCTTTTGCAAGTGGCAACAGATCAACTTTGTTAATTTCTTTGTGCTGAGAGCACTAAGGGAATGATGTGAAACATGGTAACTCCACTCTGCGGCAATAAGTTTTTCAAATTTGTCCACATCCTCTTCCAAGCCCTTATCCTTTCTTTGCAAGGCGTGGCACCGTAGTATGTTTATACACTTCTTTAGGGAATGACCAGTCTTCAAAGACAAAGATGGTGTGGCCACATTCTGAACACCTTGGTCAAAATGAGAATTTTGCAATACTTTTTTTACAGCATTCACAACATTGTCAAACCTTCTGGGTGCCTTGTGCCGTGGAACAAATGCGTTTCAATCTAACGGCCTGTGCATATGGAATGCTTAGTTTACCCCTGTTAGGGTTGATCAAGTTTTTGGTAGAAAGAGGATATCAGCAAAGTTCTGTTCGGAAACAAATACAAAGGGCTCAAGTGTTGGATCACAATGAGCTACTTGCACCCAGACCACCAAGAGCCACCGACAGGATACCGTTAACGGTTACGTATCACCTGGGCTTACCGAAAATAGGAGGCATTTTATGGGAATTACATCCACTTCTACAAATGTCGGAAAGGTGCAAGCAAGCTGTTACGGATGTGCCTATGATGGATTTTTGTCGCCCTAAGAACTTGCAGGATTATTTGGTTCGTACCAGATTACCATCTTTGGATCAGATCACAGTTATACGGATGATAGAGGGACATTTGAGTGTATTAGTAGCAGATGCGATGTTTGTAATTATGTCATTACGGGTGTTAGCTTTTCTAGCCACGCCACAAGCAGTAGTTATACTATAAATCATCACTTTGATTGCAATTCTGCAACATTGATGTGCAATTAGTTTTCTCTTGGGCTCTCAAACTAGCTGAAAGTGTTAGAGTAAACATTGGTTTTCCTGTGGCGCGGACGGACGGTCGGCGGGCGGTCAGTGTACGGTGACGTGATTACCAAATTTTCTGGGATGGGTAGATTTACTTAGCTATGGGGCTCCGCATGGAGCTCCGCTAAGATTAAGGTTTGTAGTAGTACTTGTTTTACCTATTGTAGTTTACGGAAATAGGTAAAACAAAGTCGAAATATAGGTGTTCCAACACATTGTGTCATTTCTTCACTTCGGTTTTATATATTTATTACTTGAAGATCATAATCATCATAATAACTGTCCGCAATAAAATGCATCTAATTGCCCTTTCTCGTTATTACACTTTTAAAATGAATATTCTGGTCAGCACATGGAAAAAAAAACGTTCATTTTTTCGAAGAACGATCTAGAGAATTTTGGGGTAAGATATAGATATCAACTCAGCATTTTCTGTATCTGAGCAAAGGTACAGGTACAATATCTACACTATTGAGAAAAAGCATTTTAAAAATGGTAATAACTTGATTAACGCTCAATAACGATTTAGCGCTATGTCAAGTGTGACATTGAAGATGTAGAATAGGGCCAAAGGATGACTATAATAATTTAAGGTCTGAGAAAAGGTATGGAATTTTTTTTGGGGGAAGGGGCAATGCTTAATTAGGGCTCAAGCAAAGTTGGCCGAATATCCAGGGCCCGAATTAAAGGGAAATAAAAGTCTGGAAGGAAAAAAGCTGCCAACCTATGAAAATACCACCGCTGCTAAACTTTTTTTTTTTACATGGTAAAAAGGTGAAGTAAAATGCTGATCTCGGTGATTTGCCCCTTTTTGTTTGTTTGTTGTTTTTTTTTATTGTTTTGTTTTGTTCTTTTTTTGTAATCTACTGATTGAAAACTATTGATTTGTGTGATAAAATAATTGAAATGCTTTAAATGCGCAACGTCTTGCTGTCCTTGTGACAACATTTTCAAGTTTTGTACATATGCTTTTTGCTCACAACGAGTCGGATAATAATAATAATAATAATGATAATAATTAATAATATCCTGAAGGATGATGGCAATAGCAAAAAGTCCCCATAAGTATTTGTTTCAGCATGTCCCCAGAAAGTGTAATAAACCCTGGAAAGAAGTTTGACATGCTTGAAGTATTTTGAAACATTGTTGATGGTAGAAAAAAATGCTCTTTTGAAAGACACTGCACAATTTTTTTTGTGGTGTTCCTTGATCTTTTATCCTCTGATTTCTTCAGGAAAATGCGTTTCAAGTTGAGATGTGTACATAAATTACTTGTGCAGTGCACGCATTATTTATTTATTCCAAAATGTGTAATTTGTTGCTGTGATGAACAATAGAAATGGAAGAACAAGACAAAAATAATTAGATATGAAATTTTCACCTCACCACCATCTTCAACTAACCATTTAAATCAATTTCAGCCAGCGATTTTCCGGCAATTTTTTTTGTTTCCCCTTGGTCAATGGTTAAAAGTAACTTGCTCACTTTCGCAATTTCACTGGTGGATTCATGTAGACGATAGAAGTCCCTATGTACTTGGATATCGTGACCAAAGTGTCTTGCAAGCCAGTCTACCTCAGTTTCTTTGAGAGACAGTACTTGCGAAATGGTTGCAATGTACTTCCTGAGTTTGGTACTTGTTATATTTGTGGTGTTTGAGAGAGGTGATTCACACTCTGTAGCAAATTTCCGCAGGCAATCCAATGCTCTCATGTGCTCCAGCGACAGTCTGCTTGATCTGGCAAAAATGAACGGGTTTTCATCAGGAATTCCCACAGCTTGCCTTGTCTTGTAAGTAAGTAATAAGTTGCTTTATTTGCATGACCGCATCATTTTACAGTATAGCAGAAGCATGCATATGACAATCAAAATATTAAACAAATAGCACTAATAATAATCTAGAAAAATTCAGTTACATTACTAACAATGAATCACGTATATTCATACAGGAGGAAACAAACTTCATAACTGAGATCAATGCTTTCTTTCACCTCAGGTATCAAAATCATGGGTACCTTCCTGCCCCTCTTACCTCGAATCTCAACCATGTCTAATCTGTTTTGAAATTACCATTAAGATAATAGTTATAAAAACATAATTTATCTTTGTTCAAACAATATTTTACAAACTAAAAAAGAAGAAAAAAATGGAGAAAATATCTCTCAATTGGCCTAAAAACCTAGGTCATTTTAAGTTTAAAGTTGCTACTGTGTTTGTGGCAATTGTGGGGGTTGCTGAAAATTCCAAGGAGAAGGTGGCAGGTTTAAAGACCAAAAACTGGGAAAGGTATGAACTTAAACGTAAATCTACTAGTAGAGGAGTTTAGATATTTCTTACAACAAAACAGTGTAAAATACTGAAATTAAAAGTGAAAATGGTCATCTCTGTACTAATATAAAGAGGAATAATTTTAGTTTTTTTGCCATTAAAAAGTTTACCGTTCAACAGTCTACATTTCATCGATTTATATGGGATGTTGATGCATGTAGCACGATCTAAGACATGCCTTGCACAATTGTGATGTTTCCACAAATGAGGTCCGAAAACTCATGGTCTGCTTAGTTATAAGCGTTGATATAAGAGGTCCGATAATTGGTCAATGTCCTCATAAACAAAGTACTTTAACTAGCCAAAACATTTAGAAACGGTTTGACATTGATCTGCTCTTACCACATTTTCTTTTTGTACATGTGTGTGTGTGATCTAAACATGCTTAAGAGGACTAACACTTTGAAAACTCCTGATAACAAAACATGACATGTATTATTCTCGGGGGTGGTGGTGGTGGTAGTGGGGCATCAGTCCTTTATATTTTGGTGCCATCTCTAGCTGATCTCGGGCTGCGCATAAGATTCACTTATCCCATGTTCTTTTCATACTATAATGGCTTCGTAAATTTTAGCATGTTATAATTCTAAAAAAGGTTTTTCTTTATTAATGCCTAGAACAACAAGGCCTGCAAGTTGTGGAGGATGAAGCCTCGCAACAGATGTTATCGATGACCTCCAGCAGGATGTCATTGCCGCTCAAAGTAACACAGAACCTTCAGAAGACGGCCGATTTTGCACTTATTCCGGAAACTTGCCGTGTGTAATTCTGTCGGACAATATACCATCCAAACTGAAAGGACAGGGCCAGCCACGTATGACAAACCATTCTAAAAGGAGGTTGGATTATAAAGCATGTGATACCATATTGAAAAGAAGAGGATTGTGGCGTAACCCCATTTATTTACAGCGCAAAGAAGCCCTCCGCTGTTACATCAAGAATGTACGTGAAGTTATGGCGATCTGTGTTGTAGAAATCCAGACGGGGTGCAATACTGTGGTCACCGCCGGTCATGACATATTGTAACATACGTTATCATCAATAATAAAAAAGATGATTTACAAAACATATAGACTGTTTATGAGGGGGTGGGGGTGGTTTGTACTCAACAAATAACCACAAAGCTGCAATCCATAACTTTTTCTATTCTTTTATTTCTTCTTTCATTTCTTCTTTTTTTTTCATTGTAATTGCCAAAGTAAGAAACCTGTTTCATTCATAGAACTCCTCTTCTGCATGAGGTGCCAAAATCGATCAATGGATTGGGTGTAGATCACTGTAAAAACAAAACAGTTGTGATGTGTCAAGTACAAATAAAATTTCCAAGTCAAGATGTGACATTACACTGCTCTATTGCATGGGATGAGAAAGAAAAATACTTATCTCAACAGGTCCCCTTTTCATTTCTCAAGATTTGGAGGCAAAGAGAGCTGCTAGAGCACATCATATAAAATAGTCAGCATGGTATACTATCTGAAAACAAGAAGACCAATACATTTTATTTCATTCTCGTTCAACAGCTACCAAAAAAGCAGGTTACCCAGATTTACGATAACAATTGGCCAAAACAGAAGCAGAAACCCTAAAATAATTGCATAATGCTATACTGAACATAATGACTCTTGAAAATGAAGTGACTCCAAATGGAGTCATTGACAGGCTTTTCTTTCTTTCTTTTCGGTTTTTTTTCCTTTGCAATTCTTCAACAAAACCAGCATCTGAAAATGTGTTCAGAAGTTGCTGTTTTCACAAAGTTAACATTAATAATTAAATAATAATAACTGTAATAATAATAATAATAATAATAATAATAATAATAATAATAATAATAATAATAATAATAATAATAATAATACACAACTGTAATAAGAACAACATCAAGGAGCTATAGGCCAAAAAAATCATGTTAGCTGGCACTCATGAGGAGGCTAATAACTTTTGAAAAGGAGGTGGCTCCTAAAAGAGCCGTTTGGTTTTGATTTCAACCCTCAACAAAATCAGCATCTGAAAGTTTAAAAAAGAGGAAAAATTCAGCATTTTCTGTGCCCACGTATTTGTAAAGAGAACATTACCCACCACTGCAGCATAACGTAAGTTAACTACGTGTAAATGTAAGTACATTCACGGCAACCTGGAAAGGAGGTTCTAATTAGATAAAACTGTCTTGGGGGATGATTTCTTTGAGAAGGAAAGCCTCTTAGCGTTTCCATGTGAGATGATAATGTAACCAACCTGCTCAAAGAGGAAGAGGAGCAGCAGTGAATATTTTCCTTCGTTTTCAGGGGAAGAAGAAAGTAATGCCCCAAAGTCTACATATTCGTTCGCGAATATTTTGGCTTTCAATTTAGCACTAACTCTAAAGCTAAGAGACACAGAGATGCTCGTAAAGGTGCTCTGTGGCGGAGAGTCGTTTAAAGTAGCGGGAGTGTCTCCCCTGTTTATCTGAGGCGTGACCGTCCTGAAGAGTATCAGCTACCTCAGCAGTTACGGCGGCGCCCACAGAGCTGGAGGATTCCAAGGCCAGTGGTTCCAACAGGATAGGAGGTCCAGTGATTTTTAAAATACCAGTCAAGGTTTCGGATGAGAGGGTGGTCGTAAGGGCTTCTGTTACCACGGCAGACACTGTGGCGGACAGGGCAGCAACATCAATCGACACGGTGCCTGAGCTTGAACTCGATGTGGCGTTGCTAGCTGGTAGTGTCGGAAATGGCCATCGACATCGCCGTGGACGTGCCCCTTTTTGCTCTAGGAGTGGTACCTGCAGAAGTCTTAGTGGAGGAATGCTTGCTAGGAGGTATACAATCAGTGAGGTGATGAAGGATCGTGATTTTCACCATCGTAAAGCCGTGAAAACCAATTCTGCTTTTCACTGGGCTCGCTATAGAAAGTTAAGAAATAGGGTCAATCGTGAAGTCAAGGCAGCAAAATCCAAGTATTATTGTGACTTGATTTTAGAGGCTAAAGGGGATTCAGGAAAGATCTGGAAGGCGGTGAATGAGGTGTCTTCGCGCAAGACTAAATCCTCGAGCCCACAATGTATCGTAGTTGATGGTGTTGAACACACCACCCCAGCCTCTATTGCATCCGTGCTCAACTGTTATTTCTCATCCATTGGCAGAAGTCTTGCAAATAAAATATCAGCTGCTGCTATGTTCCCAGTCAGATCGGCCACGATGCTACAGTCTTTCTCGCTTGACGAAGTTGATGAGAAAACAGTACTCAAGCATCTGCTTTCTCTAAAGACAAATAAAGCTATTGGCTTGGACAACATCAGTGCGAGACTTTTAAAGTATGGCGCGCGTGCTATTTGTCCCTCGATCACCAAGTTACTGAATCTCTCTATTCGCACTGGCAATTTTCCTGAAATATGGAAATGCTCGAAAGTGGCTGCACTTTTCAAAACTGGAGATAGGAGAGATGCGTCAAATTATCGCCCAATTTCTATTCTGCCAACAATGAGTAAAATTCTGGAAAAAGTCGTCCATTCCCAATTCTATGACTTTCTGAATTCAAATAATCTCCTTTCAAGCAAACAATTTGGCTTCCGTCCCAAACTGTCTACAACATCGGCTCTCACCAGTTTTGCAGATGAGGTCCTATTGCATATGGAGAGTGGAGAACTGTGCGGTGCAGTGTTCCTAGATCTGACCNTTTTTTTTTTTTTTTTTTTTTTTTTTTTTTTAATATATATCGATTTTAGCTTAACCTTTTTATATTTTAATTGTATTATATAATATACATCTCGTAATTAGGACCTCTATGTAAACCACTCTTGTGATGGAGCATCCTATTAAAAGATTGTTATTATTATTAGGTATCTCTTATACAGAATAGAATTGGTAGTAAAATATGGGAAATACAAACAGACAACTATGCGGTATGTGGGACCATTAAAGTAACGAAGGCAGTTTTTTCTTCAGTTGCCAAGCGTTGTTGTCTGAAGAATGGAATAAAATAGCTGTTGAGAGGAGCACCTGCACGAAAAATAATCACCTAAAGGCTAGGGTGCAATGGCAAAACGGATATAATATAAAAAACGAAGATAATTTAAAGTGAGACGTAGAATACAATGCAATTTCGGCCAAAATAATGCAAGTGCATTGGACACACCCCTGAAAGGGTGATCAATGGGTTGTACACTGAATAGGCAACGTGATAGCACAAAACAACAACGCGAAGGCCATAATATGCACGGTTTGTTTCAATCGCGACTTGAACACAAATCTACTGTCAACAACAAATGCTTTGACAGAGGTGCTGAATACATACAGCATCAAAGTAAATGGCACCAAAGCCGCACTATCACAGTTGAGACCCCAAGAAACAGTGGGCCTTGTATGACAATCGGTCTCACGAAAAAGTATAGCCATTCCATTGCATGACATTCTCACTTACTCAAATTGGATCAGATTATCCAAAGTAATTTAAATTGGATCAAACTGGATAACCAAGGAAATGCAAGTGGATTACTAGAAAAAATGTAAATTGGATCAAACTGAGCCCATGAAGCTACTTTACCCGCAAGCCTGGAGAGATCGCAAACATTGCAACACTGCCCCTCTCAAGCTACGGAAAAATTTATACTGCCCTAAGTGATTAAGGTGGACACCATCGCGTGTTAAAAAATGGGATTTGCAATTGCAAAAATCCCTGTGTCGCCAGTAAAGAGCATAAGGAATCGGCTCCAAAACTACTTTAAGATATTTTGCTACTAACTTAAGCTGGCGATTGAATAAAGGAGCATTACCGCGAAATTAGTCTGGCAAACACAGACCCTTTGCACACCATATGACTCATGTAGCAAACGAGATAAGTCCTCGAGAGCTGAGCCAGTTTCAACGGCGGAAAGGGAAGACAGATCACTGGTACCCAACTGGATGACGACAATCTCTGGGGCAAATTTCTCTACTATTCCTAAATCATGTCGGATCACTTGAGAAATAGTTCTTCCCTGATGCCATGCCATTTTTTGGAAAGATCCCTATCGATATGCAAATTTCTGGCAAATATACTCATTAAAATTTTGACGGAGAAAAGCATGTAGACAGCGAAGGAGGGAGTGGCCGAGAATCAAAATTCATAGTGGTGCCATAAAAAAAATGATGTCTAAATAAAAAATTGAAACTAATGAGCACTTGCCTGAAAAATTTGAAAAGGAGCACTCTTGCAAAAAGTTTTTCTGGGGATCTGTTCAATCTGATGGCAAGAGGAGGAAGGAAAAATATCTCGCTGGAGCTGTCTTTCATATACTAGGCATGTGACCTACTTAAACCTGGTTAGCCAAACTAATGCTAGTATCGAATCCGTGCCTGGTACAAGCCAACCCCATCGGGATATCTTGTGCGTGCAATGCGTCGAGATAAATTACATGTCGCGCCATAATGTTTGGTTTTTTTTTAAACAATGAGTTCCATGTAGCTTCCCTAAATAGAAAAGTCTTCGGTCTCAAAACTCTTGTCGGGGCCATTTTTCCAGGATGGCATGAGTGCTGATAGTACTGTACCGAGTACACATCTCTTCCAACATTCTCATTCTGACATTGAAGAAAAACCAGATGTATTTATCTATTCTTGTGCCTTTACTTCAACCTTGCCCCCTACCCAGATGTTCTTACAAAACAACTAGGCAATAAAACATACCCAATCTAGTATGGCAAGATGCACCCTCATCTTATAGGTTTCATCACCATGTGGAAAGACTCAATGTAAAATGTGTCCCGGCACTAAAATAAATGGTGAAAAGCTTGTCAAAGCTCTAGAATTCAAGTAAGAAAGCAATTTAGTTAATGGCATTAATCCTCAGAAGAGTGTAATTTTTTCAACAATAGGGAGTGTACCAATTCTCTACATCTAAAACGTTGTCACCTCATGCACTTAATATATGTGTTCAATCAAAAGTAATACTGTAAATTTACAAGGAGATAGTCAGATGGATTTTTATAGATGGTAGTTTTGATGATGGCAGCCCTGTAAGCTTCTGCAGCTTTTGGGTCTGTCACCTTCTTCTTACTGCAAACATACCCGTCTTCCTTTCACCTTGAAGTTTGGTGGCAAAGATCATGCTTTCCCTGTGGGCAAGGTGATTAATATTGACATCACCAATACAATAAGAGTTTGCAGGCATCATCAGGACAAGAGTTAGATATAAGGTTGTTCTTTGATATGCTACCTGCTGTGACTAAATGTGCAAGAAAGACTAATTTGGAGATATAGATCAATCTGCACTAGCAGGAGAAAAAACTGTGATGCCGAATAATGTAAGTATCCATGATGTTTACCTGGTAGTGATCCACAACATTGAGTAAGTACTGCTGAAAACCAGCTTCAGTGCCGTCATTATTATGCATGGCCCAATAGAAATGCGTCTTTGTGGCTTTGACTGTCAAGTAACATGTACTTATCATTATTTCCGCGAAAAAATATTCAATTCTTTATTCAAACATTCTGTTAATTTCATTGTCTTACCTTTGTCAAAGAGCTCTGTAAACCATTTGATACCCTCATCACGCCGAGCTCCACTACATATTTTTTTCATATCACGGGCAACTCCTTTTGTACCTATCAAAACACACAATACTAACAATTAAAATATTATCATGTAGTTGTATAATGTTATAATAAATCTTCTATTTTAAAAGCACCCCCTCTCTAATAAGCCCTCCTCCCCTTCACTGCCCCTTGTTATTCTTTACAATGAAATGCATAAATGGTGCACTTCATTTCATAACTGTAACACTTCATGCAGACTGAACCCAGGGTGCAAAGAAAGTGGGTTTAGCAAAATTCAGTAGCCCCGGGCTATTGGACACATCTTTCTTGGAATTAAAAAAACATAAATAAGCACCCCACCTAGAGGGCTTAGTGGAGGATTTATGATATATTTCGTAATACAAACATTAATGGTTTATCCATTTGAAACTTACCATGCCAAGTATCAAAAGAATTTTTTATGCCTCTTCCCTCAAATCAATTTTTGAGTGCAACAACACAATTATGGGCCACCTCAGTCACATTGTGAGCTATGATGATAATAATAATAATAATAATAATAATAATAATAATAATAATAATAATAATAATGAACAGTTAACTTTTCATTTCCTTGGACAATCAACAGAGTCTTTTGATAATCATTTACACGTACCTAGAACTCCTGTGAGGTTTGTTATCATTTCCTTTGTCATAGGAACTTCCCTGGATGGCGCACTCCTTTCATCAGCCCTGCTCCAGTTGCAAACAGAAATTATTTTCTTGTTGCTGGACATCAAAAAGAAAATACTGTTTATTTTCATTTTTTTTTTACTTGGTCGTGAAAATATAATGACCACAACACGATTCAAAAGTAGCATAGTCCACTGCTTTTATATAGAAAAAAAAGGCATAAATAGAGAATACTTCATGGAAAGTGCTGGCGTACGGTATTTACGCACGAGTTGTTGACGTATCAGAAATCGAACGAGTGAGCGCAGCGAACGAGTAAGATTTGTGATACAAAAACAACGAGTGCGTAAATACCGTACAAAGCACTTTCCATGTGGTATTGTGTTTATTATATACATACTGAGACATTCATCATTTTGGCGGCCTTTTTATTTTAAATCTTTCAAAAATGCTAAAATTTGCCGCTACACACTTACCGCAAAGTGACAACGAAAACGAAGTATCAGCTTTTTAGTAAAAACGTTTGTTAAAAACATAAATGACTGTGAGGATATGAGGTAATCCAAGAACTATAAGTAATCTTAACTGTTTGTCCTCAATGCACAATTGAAAATGAGTGAATTTAAGTAAAATGGCTGGTTTCAATATAAGCTTAAGCTTAAATGAAAGGCAAAGTAGCTCCGACAAAAAGCACAACAAAAGCTTACGTCTCGTTCTGTTTATCCCTTTCCGCTGTTGTTTAACCGGCTCTCTACCGTTTTCTTTATCGACAGTGAAACAAGCGAAACTATTCCACTCCATTTCCGAAATGTTTTTCACTTTTTTAGCGAGAAAAACTCTTTGAGTAAAACTTTTCTCGTAGAATGTGTGCGACGCGGCGCTGCGAGCTGCAATAAAAGGCGGGAATTTTGGCGCGAAACTCACGCACCTCTGTGGCTTCTGATTGGACGTATCATTTTTCTCACACGTGAAAAAACATCGTTCGCGATTCTGATTGGACGTATCATTTTTTTCACGTGTGAAAACCATCGTTCGCTCCTCTGATTGGCTAGAACTAATTTGCGTACGAAAATTTACGATATAGATTTTTGGTGAGTATTTCTCAGTATGTATATAATAAAAGGAGAATCACCACCATACGTATACCTCATGGAAATGGCTGAAACAGTGCAATGCATCGCTGCCTGACTAGAGTCATGTCTAGCATTGGTGATGATACACTGAAAACAAATTCACGAATAAGAAGACTATAAATGGAAAACATGAGATAACACTGCTAATATGCAACTGTGATGTACACACCTTGGTTGGAAAAATATGCTACTATTATTAACAACGCTAACTATTAAGCTGTGTTGTTATCTCTTTGGTTTCTATGGGTAAGTTTACTTACATCCCCATTTGCAGTATAATTTGGGGTTACTTCCACCTCCCTTCTTGCATCTTCCTTAGACTTTTTGGCCAGATCACGCACTACTCCAATGTAGCCAAAACCACTATCCTTGTAAACTAGGAAATGTAATGAGACGTTCATGTGTATGTCAATCTATCCAATGTTATTCTGTTAAATCAAGATATCTGGAAATGGCTTTCTTTCAACTGCACAAGAAATGCGAAAAGCAACACATCGAAATTTTCAAGTACATAACTTGGTATAAAAAAACAATGATAACCACACACGTGTATCTACAGTCTTGTCCATGACAGAACCTACCCCAGCTGCCTTACTGAAACTGCAGTATTGGGTCTCAGTTAGACCCATGCAAGTGAACGCATGCACCATCCTAGAGAGAATAAATCAGGAAACTGAGAGAGCAGTAAATATAAAAAAATCATTTGAGAGACATGTCCAACAGAACTTGCACATGCAAACAAGGAATCTTCCTAGAATAAGCTCAAATGAGCTTGCAGAGGTCTACTGCTACTAGATATTACTATAAAGTTCTTTCAAAACTAAAGGAAACCCAGACAAAAATGTGGATGAAACACTTGAACGAGAAAATTACAATAATTGTGACCCTATTTGGGAAAACTGGGGTTAATGAAATTTGCGTTGAAAAGCATTTCAACGCATTTTGAATGCGTTACAATGCATTGCAACGGATTCCAATGATTCTCAACACATTTACAAATTCTCCTTCAAACGCAGGCAATTGTTTTCAACATTTTAAAATGTTTTTCCAACGTTTAAGAATGTTTTTCCCATGTTGTTCAATGCATTGGCAATGCTTCCAAACGTTTTTTTAATCGATAAAATTAGTTCCTGAAGTGCAACCCAGGATGCTAAAAATTATCATTGATTGAAGCCACTGATGATTAGACATTGATACGCTTGAGAATGTTCTTTGAAAATACAACTTTTTTTCAGGAGCAGTAATGATACCTCCATACAACAGTAATATCAACGGGAATAACGACATGAATTCGCAATGGAAAACAAAGGCTTTCACTTTTTGTTCTCAATCGGTTCAAATCAATTTGCATAGAACTTCGATCATTGTGACATTGCGGGTGTTTGATGTTGTTTCAGGTTGTAACATGTCAAGAAGTAATTGAGAAAAGCATGACATTACTTTATTGGACTTTCAAATCTGAAAAATAAAGGAGAGAAGTTTTTGAGAAGTTTCTTAAAACTGTAAGGATGACTGTTGAGGTCGTGTTTTTTTTTGTACAATTATTTGCCCTTTTCTACCTTTGTCAGCGGCGTGCTAGACTGCTTGCAGTCGGTTGATTCTCACATCCGTTTCAAAATTAATCCGTTCGGGCTCCAAAATCCCTCGGGGAAAGATGCAAGACGAAAAAATTGGGAGAGAGCGAAAACAAAGGTGAGAAAAGAAGTACTTCTCGTCGCAACGCAATCCCTTCTTGTTTTTGTCCCGTAATGCACTTTTTTTTCACACGGGTTTCACGGTTCTTGGTTAATACACAAAGCAACTCTGAGAAAGTTTGATTCTTTTATTGTTGAGCCTCAATATCAGTAATTCCGACGAAATTGAAGTTGCGACGATTGGAAGCAGAAGATTTAAGAGATTAAAAGTGATGATCACATTGCGCTTGCTTGATAACGTTAATCGAGCGATGATGGCAAAGAAATCTGCCAAAAAGTGTGCTGCACATTCAGAGTTGAGTGTGTATAAAATGCGACCCAGCGAGTAATGGGAGCCTTGCAGTCCATTGAAGAATCATTGAAAAAACACCATAAAAATCGAAAACAGTAATACGGAAAACATTACCTGAACGGTAACCATTGTAAACAAGTGTTTAACCCTAAACAGCGCTTAACCCCTAGCCCTAAAATGAGTGCTTAATTTTTCAGGAAATCGAGCTAATTTCTCAAGGAAAACGTTATCAGTGAAAGATTGAACAACAACAACAAAAAATTATTAGCAGTGTGCGACATGCTTGGATCGCCTTTATTTATAGCTACGTAAATCCCATTTTGAAATAAATCTTCTTTTTAAGCATTACCTAGTAAATGGTTTCTCAAAGATTATTCAAGCAATTTATTGCATTTTGTTGTGACAAAAACACTGAACTCGAGATTACAACAATGTATAAAATAAAGCACACTGAGCTATTCTTCCGGTCGACTCGAAAGGCGAAAAAAGGCTTACAGCAAGGAGCCCAAAAGTGTGACTTACATGCAGACATTAACCAATCAGAAGTCGAGGACAGTTTCTAGCTGGCTTCTGATTGGATTAAATTTGCACGAAAGAATGTGAAATAATCAAGAGCGGTCACACTTTAGGGCGCCTTGCTGTAACCTATAACAATGTTTGAATTAGTCAGAGACTCAAGGTGTTCTTTTAAAATGTTTAACAAACTATTCGGCGACATCACTGGAATTGTTGCCCTTTGTCTTGAACCTGACTTCTCTGCACTTGGCGTTTATGGCATTTTTCATGCTTTTTTCACATGGGCTTAGTTTTCTGTGGTAGCCTAAACACTAGTGGAGAAATGGAGGTAGTTGTGGCCGTGTGTTTGGTGTTTGGTGGGGTTTGAATTTTGTTTCGGGGACCGCTGACTACAACCTCTCCAGCAGGTATTAAGCTAAGGTTGGTGTCTTTGGGAAATTGAGTAACAGGAAAGGCCTCGGTAGGTGAGCTAACATTGGTGTCTGTGGGAAATTCACTAACAGAAAAAGTGTTTGATGTATCTAAGGGGGTCTCAAAGGAAGGGTTTTGAGTTGCTGCAACGTGATACATATTGCATAGGCATGTCTCTATCGAGGTAAGTCTTCCATCAAATAACAACAATTTATTTTCTATACTCGATAGAGAAATGGTGATGTTGTTCATAATAGTGGAAATATCAGTTGAATTCTTGGACCCCACGTTCTTGGAAAAGAAAGAGAGAAATCAACAGAAAGAACGTGTTAGTGGTGAATGACATGTAAAGAACCTGCTTTTGCATGACTGTGTAAATTCTACAGCGATCTGAAATAAATATTATCGCATCTCATCGCAATTTTGATCGTTTAGTACAAAGTAGTGTCAAACGCATGAAGACCGAGACTAACATATCTGTCTGGTCACTGTGAAAAGGTACTCCTCCTTAAGGAATATCTTGTCCTCGTTGTGGTGATATATATATAATCAACATGAGAACGACTGTTGGGTAGAAGTGTCTTTCCTAATCAATCTCTTGCTCTTCGTTAGAGGCTAATAAATCAGTAATGTATCATGTCTATCGTATGAGAAATAGTATTTTAAAACAATTCATACCCGTTCATGCATGGCTTGCAACGTTCCATATTCACTCTTTGCAGCCTCAAGTGCTTCTGCTAACTCTCGCTTCTCATCCTCCAGCGAAATCATTTTTTGTCTCCCAATCTCCAGCATTTTCTGCAGTGTGCTGTGTTTTGTTTCTACGACAATCTTCTCTGCACTTAGGACTTCTCTTTTCTTCTTTTCGGCCTGAAGCTGAGCAATTAATGCTGTTTTTTCTTCGTCACGGCCTGTTGCGTTGTGGTCTTCTGGTTCGGCTTTGGCTTTTGGCATTTCTCTCCCCTGTCGCACGAGTTGAATGTCACTGCTCGTTTTGCCGTCCGCACTATTTCGATTTTTTAGCTCTGCGTTTCATTTTTCTATGTACTGGGCTAGAAATTGTGTTTCAGCCACATCTGGAAGTTTCTCCCCAACTGACGGTTTATGTACCTGGTACTTAGACGGTAGCATGTCGTCCTCACTGGAAGAGTCGCTGTTTTCTTGCCGTGGACTCCGTTTTTTCGCTATCAGTTTTAAAAATGTATCACGCGTGATTGTTAATATGGGGCTTAAGATGGTCAAGATACTGCTACCTGGCATTAATTTTTCAGAAATTCATCTTATTCACATTGATTACTGAGAATAGCAAACTTCTCCGCATTAATGAAAAAAAAATTGGGGGGGGGATATTGTATTTATGGTCTCTCATCATACATAAACAGCAAGAATTAATTTTCAGTCATCATGTGCCACTAAAGAAGTGTCACAAGTCATGAAATGGCATATGGAACATCTATTATACGCAAATCTTGTAAAAATCAACTAAAAATAGCTTCGCAGAAAAAAGAAACCACCAAATGTACTCTTTTACATCGCGGAATCGTACTTAAAAGAATAGCTGACCGCTACTTTTCGTTTCTTTACATCTCCAGAGTCTTCGAGATCTACCACTAACTTTAATTTTACTATACAAAGAGACTATTTGCCGAACAACTTCATTCCCAGCACTTAAGTTTGAATTGTGGTTTTATATTACTCCCGAAAATTTGTTCTCTCGAAACTGCAGAAATGTGTGAAAATTAACCTCTCGCTAAAATTTCATGCCAGACACAACTCATATTATTTACTTGCCCCTTTCACTTGAGAAGAAAGAACTTTCGACAAACAGTAATCTTTCCCTGCGAGGATGTATAGAATATGATAATGATGAGACGCTACCTTTGGGCATCTCTGGCCTTTCCTCCGATGCAGTGCGCTAGCTTCGCAGAATTCCCCGTTAAACCAATGTCTGTTGAAGAGGACTTTAACGGATTGACCCTTTCTTTATGCAACATTGAAGGGTTTGATACTCTTTCGACAGACTCTTTGCTCGCAATTATTCCACTTGTCTTTGGTCTTCCACGTAAACAACTTTCTGCGACATCTTGTGAATTAAAAGTCTCCGGCAGTCTAGAAATTTTACTAACTGAAGGTCGCTTTTACTAAATCAGTATTATTTTATCCCCTCTGAAACACGCAAAGTTGCCTGTTTCCGTTCAGCTAATTAATTTTTGTGATTTTAAAATGATAAGATTTTGTGGGTATTGCAGGTCACGAACAATAAAAACGAATTAAAAGTGTCTCCATTTGCAACTTTACATCGACGAGAAAGCGTTTGCTTATTAAGTGGCTAGTATTTTTCTAAAGGTTTCCTTATTCATCCTTCGGCATTATGAAACGATCAAATATTTTTCCTTTTTTTTTCACGTGTGGTGCTACTCAAACCCCACTCAAAAGACTGACAACATTTACCTAAGACAAACTCTTCCGTAACTTCTCACGAAATGCTGGTATGTGTCCGTCTGCAAATGTGTTCAAATGTAAAACACACATTAGAATGGAAGTTTTGCCGCAAAACATTGCGCTTCTTAAATCTTCTCTTACTTGCCGTATAAATTTGTCTCGACAACAGCTTCATTGGTGTGCAAAGCTTGGCGCCAAATTGCGTATGACGAAAGCTGGATTAAGTACGCAAGAGATGAAGAATTTTTGGAAACTAATGCTAGAGGTTCATCAACAGAGACCTTGAATTACTTCC